GTGGCGGGGCGGGGGGGGGGAGAAAGATGTTCAAAGAAAGTCTGCATGCCATTCTCTATTAAATTCTATGCAACTCGTTACAGTACCTCTGTGAAAGAGCTCTTCAGCCAGTGCAGCTGTGATCCCATTGATTTCCTGCAAAGAACAAACCACTTTGAGTTAATTTAAATGTTTTCCATTCTTCAAATGTTGAGCACTTCTAACGACTATCAAAAAACCTAACACATTAGATCTTCAGAAACATCTTTAAAAATGAAGTACTGAGGCCATAATTACATCTATGGATTTTTTAAATACTAAAGTCACTAAAGATACAGCTTGCAATAATTCTGAAAATTAAGAGCCTAAAAAGCCAGAGACAGCATTAGACTACAGATAAATACACTCATTCTTAAGCAGATGTCTTTACTCTATTCAATGTAACAGATACTCGAGTAAATATAACCAAGAACACTGGCACTACTTGAAAGTAAACTCATTCCTTAAACAGGTTGTAGTAATCACTCAGAACTGAGAAACAGCAAGTCCACTATTTTGAAAAGAGATCTTGGAATAAGCTATTCATGTATTAAACTTTCAAGATTTCCTCTCCTATGTCAGACAGACTACACACCACTAACATGGAAAAGATGCCTTCATTGGCTTGCACAGGTCAAAAGAAAAGGATAGCTATAGTTAGTTAATTCACTTCTTTCTAGGACAGGGCTACTCAACTTTGGAAGCCCCAGGGACCAGGATGCTCACAGCACATGCCGAGAGCAACTTAAGTGTGGTTGCACATATGTAAATATATACAAATATACAGGGCTCGCCAAACCGCAGCGAGCCCTGCTCGACAGCCGCACTGTCCGGCGATCTGCGCATGCGTAGATCGTCCGAACCCAGCTCTTCCGGATTACAATCTACTCGCCACGGGCAAGTAGATTGTATTATTTGTCAAGCCCAGCAAATATATATGTAAATAGCTTCTTTCACTCCTACAGGCATGAATACAAAGATTAAGGCAAGATTAACACAACACACAGGCTCCATTTAAGTCAGTTCTGCCGATATTAATAAAATGAAATATTTACTTGATTTCCACCCTTATGACAGCACTTTTAATGAGCAATGACAGTCCAGACATTTAACTACTAAAACGCATATCAACAGAAGACCATTTTATTGACTCGCTGTTGTGCAGCGTGTTCCCAGTAGAGGCAACGTTCAAAGGATCCCACTCGTGGGCCACATGTTGAGCCCTGCATAAACCCAAACTGTACCGTACGGGCCGCAAACAAACAGGCCGCAGGCAGTCCATGGGACACATGTTGTGTAGCCCTGCTCTAGGCTTTTCTTCCTCACATTTACTTTGACAGCTTAAGTGCTGTCTGCCCCACCCTGTCCTTAATGCAGCCCCATGAATCAACAGGTAAATGTGTAAATGGAAGGGAGATTAAGAGAAAAAAAAATGTCAACAGAGGGACATTAACACTACTACCTCACCAAGTCCATAAAGGAGGGGAATGAAAGACACCAAGACAGGGAATTAAATATTTCCCACCCACAATGAGGAAAGGTCCTATGGAAATTCAAAGGCAGTTGACACAAGGCAAAAGTAGTAAGATTTTTTTCATTAATTCTCTATTAAACACAAAGAAATCCCTGCAAAAACAGTATCAAAAGTAAACCTTCAAGCAACAGTTAAACTTAACCTTGAAATATTCAGCTAATTTATAATGGAGGATGTAATAGAAACTAAATGAATCTCAATTCAGTATTCATTAAGGCTACGTCTACACTTGCCCCTTTTCCGAAAGGGGCATGCTAATTTTACAGGTCATAATAGGGAAATCCGCGGGGGATTTAAATATCCCCCGCGGCATTTAAATAAAAATGTCCGCTGCTTTTTTCCGGCTTTTAGAAAAGCTGGAAAAGAGTGTCTACACTGGCCCCGATCCTCCGGAAAAAAGCCCTTTTCCGGAGGATCTCTTATTCCTACTTCAGTTTCAGCAGCGGCTGAATCAGGGACCCCTGTGGCAGAGAAGCTGGGGTGCTGCCGGGTTGGTCCCATAGCACCGCTCCTCGGCGCTGCTGGACCAACCCGGCAGCACTCCAGCTGCTCTGCCCTAAGCATCCCCAAGAGCAGTTGGGGTGCTGCCAGGTTGCTCCCGCAGCCCCGATGGGCGGCATTACCGGACCAACCCAGCAGCACCCCAGCTGCTCTGCCCCCGGCTTCCCCGATTCAGCTGCTGGTCAGTTTCAGCAGCGGCTGAATCGGGCGCAGAGCAGCTCCAATTGTCTGGCTGCCTGGAACACTTTCGTGTTTCTGATGGTGCCGGACCATCAGGAGTGCTGGACCAATGGAGTTTTACTGTAATCAGTTAACTTTCACTGTTACCCACAGGGCTCCAGGAAGCTGGCTTAAAAGATGACGCTGGGCGTGTATCAACTCCGGGGAGTCACCTGCCACCCATACTGTTGCCTCTGTGTCAGAAGCAGCAGCACAGGGCAGCAGGTGGGAGCCAATATGCGTGCTCTGTCCTCCAGAGAGCCAACTGCCACCCCTTAATTACATCCAAATGTTTATTTTGCCCACAGACAACTCTGATGCTTCATAACAAGGGGATAAAGACAGCGCCTATCAAAACCACACATTAGTTTGCTCATTTACTGAAGTATTTTAGAAAACATATTTCTGAAACAGAAGATGAAACTGCACTGAGCATGGATCTGTCGAAAATGTTCAACCCAAATAAACTTTGGATCAAAAGCTACAAAAGTTGCATTAAAAAAATAATTCAGCAGCATAGAATTGTTCTTGCTCCTGTTTTAAATGAACAAATTAGAACAGCAATTCTTAGAAAATAATGAGTAGGGCCCTACCAAACTGGCAGTCCATTTTGGTCAATTTCATGGTCAGGATTTTTAAAATCATAAATGTCATTATTTTACATAATTAAATAAAACATTTCACTGTGTTGTAACTGTAAAGATCCTGACCCAAAAAGGTGGTATGTGAGGGTTGTAAGGTTATTGTAGGAGAGGTAGCTGCACTGCTACCTTCAGACCTGGGCAGCTGGAGAGCAGTGGCTAGGACTGAGAGCTACCGCCAGCAGCAGTAAGCATGATATGATATTGCCACCTTTATTTCTGCACTGCTGCCTGCAGAGCTGGGACTTAGTCAGCAGCTGCCACTCTCCAGGTCTCAACTAACCACTCTCAAACTGGGGGTCCTCACCCAAAAGGGATTTGCAGAAGGCTCACAAGGTTATTTTAGGAGGATCACAGTATTGCCGCCCTTCTTTCTTCGTTGCCTGCAGAGCTGTGCAACCGGAGCTCAGTGGTTGTAACGTTGGCTGTGTACCCAGCTCTGAAGGCAGCATCCTGCCAGCAGCAGTGCAGAATAACACCATACCCATGTCACCCTTACTTCTGTGTTGTGTCTGTGGCCATAATACAGCGGCTGCTTACTCTGCAGGCAGCAGTGCAGAAGGCTGGTAATACCATACAATGCCATTGTTATTTCTGCCTTCAAAGTTGTATTTCTGGCCAGCAGCCACTGCTCTCCAGCTGCCTAGCTGGAAAGGCAATACTGCTGCCAGAAGCTGCATAGAAGTAAGGGTGTAGCAGGACCACAACTCCCATAACCTTGCAACCCCCACACAACTTCTTTTTGGATCAGGACTCCTACAATTACAAACACAAAGAACATTCAGATTTAAATATTTGAATCGTGAAATTTACCATTTTAAAAATCCCATGACTGTGAAATTGACCAAAATGGACTGTGAATTTGGTGGGGCCCCAAGCACAACACAAGGGGCTCGTCTACACTGGCCCCTTTTCCGGAAGGGGCATGTTAATTTCAGCCATCGTAGTAGGGAAATGCGCGGGGGATTTAAATATCCCCTGCGGCATTTAAATAAAAATGTCCGCCGCTTTTTTCCGGCTTTTAGAAAAGCCGGAAAAGAGCGTCTACACTGGCCCCGATCCTCCGGAAAAAGCGCCCTTTTCCGGAGGCTCTTATTCCTACTTCAAAGTACTTCAAAGTAGGAATAAGACCCTCCGGAAAAGGGCACTTTTTCCGGAGGATCGGGGCCAGTCTAGACGCTCTTTTCCGGCTTTTTTAAAAGCCGGAAGGCTTTTCTAAAAGCCGGAAAAAAGCGGCGGACATTTTTATTTAAATGCCGCGGGGGATATTTAAATCCCCCACGCATTTCCCTACTACGATGGCTGAAATTAACATGCCCCTTCCGGAAAAGGGGCCAATGTAGACATAGCCAAGAAGTCTGAGGTCACCCACTGAAGTTAACAGATAGCAGGATTACAACAAACAAGTGTTTTTCCATACAAAATGCAGTCAGTTTTTAGACCCCCTTACCAGGGAATGTTGTGAAGGCCAGACATATAACTGGTTTCAAAAAAGCATTAAATAAATTCATGGAGGACAGATCCATCAAACCCATGCTCTGGGTGTGCCCAAGCCACTAAGTGCCAGAAGTTGGGACTGAAAGACTGTGGGTAGATCACTCTACAAATGTCCTGTTCTGTTCATTCCCTTCGCAGCATCTGGCACTAGCCACTTTCAGAAGACAGGACATTGACATATGGGTTTAAAAGCCTGCTAGGGGGTGCTTTTATTTAGCAGAATTGTTAATATTAAGGCTTTTTTGATGTGTAACTAACTAATGTTGTAAATATTTAAAAGTATTCTAGAACATCTGAGCAACATGATTTAACGAGTTCAAACATCAACCCAGATTTGCCTACTAGGAAAAAATAGTATAATTTAAGCAACATTTCACTTCGCTGTTAACTCACAAGTACTATCCAAAGAACGGATGAGAGTTGATCTGTTTAGAGCTAAACACAGCTCTAATAATTTTTTAAAAAGCTATGTGGTTGAATACATAGCAGTATGTTTCAATGAGCTGGGTTTGGATACATTCCCAGATGCAAATGGGAAGGCAATCTATCATAAAAGCAGAGGGGCTGGGCCGTCAAATCCTCTTCTCATCTCTGCCACTGACTTGCCAGATGGTCATATTGGGAAGTCTTAACCTTTGTCCCTGAGTTTGCTCAACCATAAAATATTGATGTGCCTCTCTCATTAGGTATATTTAGGCTTGGAATGATTAGATTGTTATTGGTAAAGGTAAATAAATGTTGACTTCAACATACACATAAGATACTTCAGAAGAACTACTATCCTGGGTAATAAATGAAATTGACAGATTGGCAAAGCATGAAAAGTGCTGCTTAAGGATTTATTAGAGTTTGATCAAAGGATATTTACTTTGTATATTTTTATATGTAATGTTGAAAATGTGTGTATTAACAGCTATAAAGCCTTAACTTTTTTTGATTCTCACTATCTACTATCATTAAATTGTCTGGCCCCTTACCTATTCCCTCCATAATTTCTCAGAACTGTGAACATTTAAATAGGAAAAAATAAACCAAAAATCAATTTAAATAATATTATATGGGCTTGTTACATTTTAGATGCTTAATGTCAGACACGTAAGGTTCATTTTCAGAGGCGTGGGTTAAGCACAACTCAGCAGCACCTCTGAAATTCACACCTCCTTCTATCTCAAACTGGGCAATCATGGTCAAGAAATAAAAACCATGTATTTGAAAATTTAGATCTAGATGTCTACCTAAATATGCCATTTTCCAAATTAATACTTGAAGAGGGAGACTATAGGTTAAGTAGCTTATACAAAAATGCTTTGCATATCCACTGTAGAAGTACTTCCACTTGAAATCAAAGACCTTCCAAAATATGAATGGATCAAAGTATCAACCCCAATTATATAGATAAGGAAACTAAAATACAGAGAAATTAAGTGACTTACTCATTGTCACACAAGAACGCTGTGCACAACCACACTAGAACCCGGACTTCTCTCTTAACCTTGTATTTTAAACATTATGTCATGTTACCAAGCACAGTTATATTTTTAAAAGCTGATAGTCATATTAATTTATCAGGATACAACTTATCGTGTCTGCTCAGAATCACACATTCATCCATTAAAAGCAATTGCTACATTTCCTTCCTGCTCAAACCCCAATGCAAATTCTTCTCTGTAATGTTTCATTATGCTTACAACAGAACAGCATGCTGCAAAAAGGAGAAATCCAATCATAAGAGATGAATGAACCATTTTCAACTGGTGGACTGCAATAAGGAGTTATTACTTTAAGCATCTTCTGCTATAATATTCTATTTGCTGGGTAGAACTTCCTCAAGAGGCCACTATCAGTACATTTTCCAGTAGAGAGACCATTTTTCTTCATCTGGTCCACTTGAAGCTGTCATAATATGAACCATTGTTCCAACCGCTAATCAAAGTACAGGTTGGGTTCAATTACATAATCTTCCTTTTGAGACCTAGCAATATTGATTTCAGTCTAACAATGCAAGTCAGATTCATTCAAAACATTAGGGTACATTAGGGTATTCCTCCAACATATTTTTCATTCCAAAGGCCCTGTCCTCATTATTTGATAGAAGTTTCAATGACAGTAGGAACAGCGTCAAAGATGTTATTGACAAAACTCATTCTATGACCTAACTTTTTATTTGTCCAAACCCTGCAGAGACTGAGGTTAATCAAGTAAAAAAATAACAAGCTACAGGCAGTCCCCGGGTTACATACAAGATAGGGACTGTAGGTTTGTTCTTAAGTTGAATTTGTATCTAAGTCAAAACTGGTACATATTGTAGGGGAAACTCTAGCCAAACATTTCTCCAGAGCTCAGTTTTATTCTCCAACACCTCACTTCCCTCAGTCCTTTATTCTCAAGCTGAGATGTCTGCTGAGAGAAGCCGCTCCGCATCTCCCTGGTCTGTTGGGGGGAGTGCTAGCTTCGCGTCTCCCTGGTTTGCTGGGGGGAAGCAGCTAGTGCGGAGTTGCCTCACCCCGTTTGTAAGTAGGGATCTGATGTAAGTCGGATCCATGTAACCCGGGGACTGCCTGTACTTAAAATTAGGAGGTAAACTTCACTGGACTCCTGCTCTGCTCATTGACTCAAATGGGCAAAATACTATGGTGAGAGGGCACTTTATAAATACCTACATAGCTAGCACGTAACTTACATATAAATGAAAGTGTAAAAAGTGAGACAAAACTTTGGGTGCAGCAACGGGGAACTTGACGAGAAGTGTTTGCAGGTAAACTTCTAATTCCTTCTCTCTTTTCTCCACTAGACTTTTGGAATTTTTCCCAATGATCTTCTTGGGAGGCAGCAGGTTTTTGTCTATCCTCTTTTCTGAAACAAGCTGTAGGAACAGCAATATTATAAGTTATCATCTAAAATAGTTTTTGATCTAGCAAGAAGGGTACAATATTGTACAACAAAGTATTATGCAAATGTTTTCTTTTTTCCTGTAACATTGCTTTGAATTTCAGACATTTTTGGAGGGAGATAAGAACGAAACAACATGAAAACAGTTAACAGCAAATTTAACACTAATAATTTATTTTTCTGGAGTCTGATCCTTGACTATACCTTCACCATGGAATGTGAACATTAACAAAAAACATTTGCCTACTCCTCCTATTCAGATACCACAGAGATAATTGCAATATAAATGCTTAAGACAGTAAGTACAGGTTGGTCCTCCCTGGTCCAGCACCCTCTACTTTCGGGATCTGAGTGGTCCCGAACTGGGGAGTTTGCCAGACCAGGGGAAGTCAAAGCTTCCCATCCACCACCAGCCTGGGGTTTCGTGTCCGCTGCCAGCTGCCCTGCCGCTGGGATTGGCTACTGCTGAGCTCCAGCTGTCAGACTCGATTCCCACTTCCAGGGCACTCTGATCCAGCAAGATTGTGATCCTGCTGGATGTTGCCGAATCAGAGTCCTAGATTAGAGAAAAAGCGACGAGGAGTCCTGTGGCACCTTATAGACTAACTGAAGTGTAGGAGCATAAGCTTTTGTGGGCAAAGACCCACTTCGTCAGATGCATGTCATGCATCTGACGAAGTGGGTCTTTGCCCATGAAAGCTTATGCTCCTACACTTCAGTTAGTCTATAAGGTGCCACAGGACTCCTCGTCGCTTTTGCAGATTCAGACTAACACGGCTACCCCTTTGATACTAGATTAGAGAGGTTCAACAAGTACTACAGGATACCAAGTGAGACCCTGAGACATTCTCATAGCAGATCTGGATGTCTTGGACTCAGAATCGCCCATTTCCATGTTGCTGTTGTAAATCAGTACAGGTTGGTAAGCATTAGGCTCTCACAATCATTGCTGTGTGCAATCAGCACACACCTCGCTTCATGTGCCCTTGCTTTAAGTGCAGGTCACTTTTGTAATACTGATAGGAAGTAAACTACATGGACAAAAACCAGCAGTACCTGGCAACAAAATGTCTTGTGAGCCACACACAGAAATAGGGATGTGAATGGTTAACCAGTGAGCAATACCCTTAATGGGTGATATTTACCCACTATGGTTAACCGGAGGCCCAGACCGGCAGGAGAATCTGGGGGGGGGGGGTGCTCTAGCTCAGACAGGCCTGCTGCATGATGCGGCAGGGCCCGCCCACGGCGCTCACCATCCCACAGGCGGGGGGTAGGCCTGCTGTAACCCATGCCCAGCCGCATTTAAGTGCTTAACCGGTCAAGCGTTACATTTAATTGGTTAACTGATTAAACAGGTTTTACATCTCTACATAGAACCCCAATAAGCTGCAAGTTGCCCACCACTGGTCTGCTAGCTTGATTCAAGGGTTTGGGGAAGGGCAGATGCTAGCTTCCAGGAGGTACAACACTGCTTTTTTTAGTTTTGCTGTGCACTAATTGAGCAGCTTCCCCCATCTGCACCCTCTCCTCCCTTCTCTCCTGCTGCTGGATAGCGGTGGTTGGTTTTGTGCCTTCTTTTGGCTTAGTCAGGGGAGGTGATGAAAACATTCTTAACTCTGCAAGCACAATGGCTATGACCCCTCCTAACGGTTGAATTACCTTTTTATTGGCTGACATGATCTAGCCAAGGCAGTATAAAAAAGGCAGACTGCATTGCTTGTGCAAGAACTTCATTTTGCAACCCAAGAAATCTCGACTCTTTCATTAACACTACATCCAAAAGGCCTAGTATTCTTTACTGTATATTTTCTAAAAAGAATGTCAGTAAGCTTGTGTTAGGAAGCAGGATTTGACAAGTTTTTCAAAATATTTTGCAGGTGGTGAAAAATCACAGTAATCTTCTCTTTACCTTTTCGTGCAGGTCATGGAAGTCACTGTAACGATGTTTGACTGTCCACTGATGACTCCCAACATTGACTTGAATAATATATACCTAAAGAAAGCAAACAGCAGAGTAAGGTACCTGAGGAGTATGAATGCTAAAGAAAAGATGATGATTATAGGTCTCTTGTAACATAACACTGAAAAATGATCCAGCAATGGTAGTTTGTTTTGTGTTATCCAACCTTAGTATCTAAGCATACCCAGCTAATACAGCAACAGAGCCAATGCACAAGGAATCTGGTCTCACTTACTAAGATGGTACATGAGGACAGGCAGCTGGCTCTCATTTAAACTCAATTACCATTTATCTGTATGATTTAAAGATGAACCACAAATATCTCAAAATGTCACCTCTTTCTGCCCTATGCTCTGAACATTCCCTGCAGCTAAGTTACATGGCTCTTCAAAAGCTCCCTTCATAACCCTAAAAGCGAATAACTCTCCTTCAGGTCTACCAAATTCATCCCGTGTGACAACCTAGCATACATGTACAGACTTCACAGCTCCCACGAACTGAAGAGCAGCTCAGAGAAGCCTAGGCAAGTCCATGGTACATTTAAATAACTCTATTCCCTTACAGGTTACAGAAACTGAGAAGCCAGACAAGATAAACAGGATTTCTCAAGATCCAATGAGTCTGCTCCAAGCTACGACAGAGCTTCACAGTAGCTGTGTGCACGGTGGGCCATTACAGCTAAGATGCAACCAATTTACACCAGGGGACTCAAAGTATTTTACTATACATGCACTGAATAGGTGAACCTTAAGATTTTCATTTGTAGGAGACTTTTTACACAGCTGCAGTGATTGTTTCTAAAGGTAACTCAATCTACCTTCTGACTGGTTGGAAGGAAGTCATCATGATGAAACCTGGAGGGTGTTGGAAGGTAAAAAGTGGTGGCAGAGGGGAACCCTAAACCAACACAGTCAATCTCCAAGTGTACAATAGAACAACACAAAATTTGAGGCACTACATTGTTTAACTTTTTTCTAGGATTCACATGAAGTGAAATAATCAGCTGAACAGCAAACCTTGAAATCACTGAATATAACCAGGAATTTGGAAGACTGCAGATCACATGGTCCCATTTTATAACTGTTAAAATGAAATGGTTCTATCACTAACCACATTTGAAAAAAAAAAAAAAACAACAATCCTTGTGATCAGTTTTCAAATCTAAATAAACGAAGAATGTCTTTGTTTTATGTGATCAGCCCAGCGCACTAAGATACAATGTACTAAAATAGATATCAATTTACACTTTAAAACTGGCTTACACCAAAAATGCTCAATTGTTCATGAAATAGCTGAATTTATGGCATGTTACTATGTTGCAAGACAAACGAGGTCTACAACTAGGGATGTAAAATCCTAAGTAGTTAACTGGCTAAACATTAAGTTTAACCAGTTAACAAATTAAACAGGTGAGGGTGGGGGGCTGTGCCATAGACAGGGGCTGCTCCAACCTAGCTGCTTCAGGCACCCCACTGGGCTGCTGACTCCCAGACTACATGCAGCCTCGGCAGGGCTGGAAGTGCAGGGGTGGGGAGGCTGCCAGCTCCCAGACCATGGAGCCAGCTGCTCCTGGGCCACTGGTTACCCATCCACATCCCTATCTACAACAGAATGCAATCAAGAGGTCTAGTGCACAGCACCTGCTACACGAAACAGTAATTGGGTGTCTGAAGTACAGTAATTATAAGATACAATTTAGGTCATACAAAGAATTACAGACTCATCTGAGTACTACATGCAATTATAAAGGTTGAAAGTGTATGCTAGAATTTGTGCTCGGTGAGAAACTGCAAAGCCCAGGTATAGGTCCCCACTTGCAGCTGTGACATTGGACACTTACGTGAAGACGCTTCTATGCCAATGGGAGAGCCTTTCTGATTGGCATAGTTCATCTCCCTCTGCTAATGGATAGCTATTAGGGATGTTAAGAAGCACGTAATTCGTTGATCATGTAGTCGATGGTTAACCAGTAAGGGGGTAGCACTCATGCCGGGTTGGCACGGCAGCTCTGCACTACAAGCACTTGTACTGAAGAGCTGCAGTGGGAGGTTGATGCTGGGTCCCAGGACTAAGAGCCAGCGTGGACAGGCTGGATCAGTCCTGGCTTGTGCTGGGACCCGGCTTTGACGGGGTACGGTCACAGAAGACCCCTCGGGGCTGCTTTTCAGAGTGCTAGCAAAGCCACTGACACTTGCCTCCTTGGTCTCTGGGGCTTCTCACCACCCTGTCCTGCCTGGCCAGCTCACCTGGTCTCCCCCAGCAAAGGCACAGATCACCGCCCCCCAAGGAGCAATACAGATACTGAAATTCTTCTGCTCCGAGGAAAATGCAGTTTTGGGGCCAGCTTCCAGGGATATATATTTAACAAACACCACACAGAATGCTCCTTTAAACCAAATTAATTGAAATATTCACTAGCTACCGATGTTTTGATTTACTCTGCCCAATATAAAAGTGTCCTGCACAGCAAACATGGGGCTTGCTTTTAAACAGCAAGTTTGCTTAAAACATCTGACTCATTGCAAAATGTGGAAAACATAAGGAAAATAGTCATGTTACAAATATTTAAAGAGACACCAATGTAAAATCTAAACAGTTATAGAATTTCAGGCACTACAACTGCCTTAGTTCTACAATAACATTTTCCTATTTTAAAAACTGCCCCGTTGCTGTGCGAAAATTAACAAAGGTCTGTGCTGGAGCTAGGGGTGCTAAAAGATACTGCCATATCCACTGGCTTGAAATGATTTCCATCATCCACAGGGTTTACAACTTGATTCAATGGATCTCAGCACCCCTGTTCACAAAGGTAATGTGGAAAAAGTAAAAATGTTCCCCTCAAAATTTTCCAACTACCGTAAGCTTATACAGTATTTTATAACAGTGGGTAAAAAAAAAAAAATCAGAAAGAAGTCATCTTAAAATTACACCATATCCCTTTAAATGGTGTCAGAAGCATTTTCTGAGCACTTAACTCTACCCACAGTGCAGAATGAAGTCTATGCAATCATACAAATGGAGTCAGTGAGAAGAGATTGTTCAGAGCATAGCAAACTAGAATAGGAGAACAAAGTTTTAGTTCTATGGAGTGATTTGATGGAGAGGTTTTCCCTGAGCTATCACTTCATAAGCTTCAGGAGGTAGCTGAGTTAGTCTATAAAGTGCTACCAGACTACTTGTTTTTTAAGTTTATCCTGTACAGACTAACGGAACATGTAGGTGGGCACAGCCCACAAAAGCTCATGATACCACCTACATGTTCCGTTAGTCTATAAAGTGCTACCAGACTACTTCTTGTTTTTTAAGTTTATTACTTTATAATTATTTTACACAGCTTTTTGAAACACAGACCAAGACATTATTTTATATAATTCCTACACAAAGTGTTTTCAAATAGAATTTGCATACTGTGGCATTTTAAATGCCTTCTCCAAGCTGCAAAAGCGACAAGGAGTCCTGTGGCACCTTAGAGACTAACTGAAGTGTAGGAGCATAAGCTTCCATGGGCGAAGACCCACTTCGTCAGATGCATGTCTTTGCCCACGAAAGCTTATGCTCCTACACTTCAGTTAGTCTCTAAGGCTGCGTCCAGACTCAAGGGTTTTAAAAAACTTCACCTGCGTCTATACTACAGCTGCGTTCTTTCAAAATTAAATCAAAATTCTTTTGACAGCGGAAAACCTCATTTCACGAGGAAGAACGCCTTTTTTCGAAACAAAATGCAGGACAATGTAGCACTTTAAAGACTAACAAGATGGTTTATTAGATGATGAGCTTTCGTGGGCCAGACCCACTTCCTCAGATCAAAATCAGATCAAAGTGCTCTTTCGAAAAAAGGCGTTCTTGAATGCAAACAGGGCTTCTTCGAAAGAGAGCATCCAGACTGCCTGGGTGCTTTCTTTCCAAAAAGCGGCTTGCTATTTCGAAAGTACTAGTTGCAGTCTAGACACTCTTTTTCGAAAGAAGCTTGCAGTCTAGACGTAGCCTAAGGTGCCTCGGGACTCCTTGCCCCTTTTGCAGATTCAGACTAACACGGCTCCCCCGCTGGTACTTCTCCAAGCTGTTCAGTGAACTCAGAAATATTTGCTGAAAATGTGAGTCCCCATCACCCTCCCCAAATCACCTGATGTCCCCCAGGAAAACCCTCCACACGTTTCCATTACAAAAGCTCACGGTTAAACTAGCCTAAGGTGCCTCGGGACTCCTTGCCCCTTTTGCAGATTCAGACTAACACGGCTCCCCCGCTGGTACTTCTCCAAGCTGTTCAGTGAACTCAGAAATATTTGCTGAAAATGTGAGTCCCCATCACCCTCCCCAAATCACCTGATGTCCCCCAGGAAAACCCTCCACACGTTTCCATTACAAAAGCTCACGGTTAAACGGGCCACAGCGCACAGCAAAGGGAGCCGGGCAGCGGCTCGCCCCACGCTCGCCTCAATACAAGGCTTGGCTCTGCTCCACGCAAGATTTTCGGCGGCGG